TAATTTTGGACTGGAAGTAGAGGTAGTTGCATAAACTCACGTACACAGACACAAAAATATCAAAATATAGATATGTGTATATTTCCTACCTCTGTTCACTGAGAGGGCTTAGAAGTAATCACACCCCAGGAATAATGAGCAGACCTAGTGCCTAGATCTTAGTCTCTGAAAACCTTTTTGTAATAAAAGGACCAGGGCTCCTAGAAGTGGTTGATTATGGGGCTGAGGCAGGACAAATACAAGATGATCCTGGAGTATCTTATGGTTCCAAAAAATAAGGATTTGAAAGAGCTTCTAATGGCCAAATTTGAACAACAAAATGATGTCAATGTTGGATTTTTAACCCATAGAATAAAATGAATATCCACGAGTGTATTCGTTTTCTGTTCTTGTAACAAATTACCACCAATTTAGCAGCTTAAAACAACACACGTTTATTATCTCACAGTTTTCACAGCCAGGAGTCCAGGCACAGCTTAGCTGGGTCCTCTGCTAGAGGTCTCTCAAGGCTGCAGTCAAAAGTGTGGGATGGTCCACATTCTCCTCTGGAGGCTCAACGAGGGAAGAATCAGCTTCCAGTCTCCTTCAGATTGTTGGGAGCAGTGAGGCCCGCAGGTTCTGGAGGCTGCCTGAGCCGCACCACGGAATCTTACTTCTTCAAGGCCATCAGGAGTGTCTGTCAGCTCAGAGAAGTCCTAAGTCCTCTTTTCAAGTCAGGCCTATACAGGATCATCTCCCTTTTGATTATTTCAAAGTCAACGGATTAGGGACTTGAATTACATCTGCAAAATCCCTTTAACTTTGCCATGAAACATAATTTTAGGAGTGATATTCCATCCTTTTGTTATATTCTTTGGTTAGAAGCCAAGTCACACGTTCTGCCCTCAGTCAAGAGGTGGGAATTGCACAGGGTGTGACTCATTGGAGGTCATCCTTTAGTGTGTCTGCCACAGTGAGTCCATATGGATAGAAATAGTCCAATAAATACATAAACAAATGTATCTCTTGGACTAAGAAGATATAGAAGAACTATCTCTTCTTCCCCACAATAGATTTCCGTTAGGAAATGTGGAAGGAAAGAGAAAAAGAATCATCATTGGCAAACACCACTGTAATATTGCAGACAAGATTCTCTAATGGATGCTAAAATTAATGGGTGCAGGTTTAAGGATAAACAGGATTTGCATAGTGTCAAATATTTCCCCTAAGATACTTATCAACTAAAAGGGGCAAAATAGTAACTTTATTTTGGAGGAACTCCGTAGGCACCAACTTTACCAAGTAATCAAGGTCAACATCACCAGAAACGAAACATCAATATCGTGAACCCCTTGATAGGATGAATTGAGAAGCGCATGACATTTTTGTGGTACACTTCCCAAAACCCATAACCTCATCTAAACCATAAAAAAAGAGCAAACTAAACCAAACTGAGGAACGTTCTACAAAGCAACTGATCAGTATTCTTCAAAAGCATCAAGGTCATAAATATAAGGAAAAACTGAGGGTCTTTTATAGGCTGGAGGAGACAAAGGAGAAATAACAATTAAATGCAACGTGCGATCCTAGACCAGAAACAAGACAGTAAGTGGAAAAAATGGTGAAATTCAAATAAGATCTTAAGTTAATGATACTGTACCATGTTAAATTCCTCTTGATAATTATATTATGGTTATGTGAACGTTAGGGGAAGTGGGCTAAGGGATATAAGGGAGTGCCTTGTACTAGTTTTATAACTTTTCCGTAAGTCTAAAATTAATTAAAAATACAAGTTTTTCATAAAAGATCGTAGTGCTTGTGCTGAGAGTTTTAAGTCAGCAAAAGTAGAAATTCACATGACTTATTGATGCTTCATTTTTGGCTTGTTGCATCAAAATTCACACAATTTTTTGTACCCAGTCATTGGAGAAGAAGTACATAGGTGTCAAGTGGTGGAATTTATTCCAGCTCACAGCATAGTTTTTTCCAGTTGTAATTTTTTTCCATCGTGCTTACGTCATTATAGACATAGATGAAGGAAAACATGGGACTTTCTTTAAAAACTCAATTTTAATCTTAAAGCCTACTCATAAAGTTGGTTTGTTCATTGTGCGTGGCAACATTCTCTTAAAATAATTACCAAACTTTGTTTAAAAGGTTTTTCTTATAACAAACATACGTCATATAAAAATCTATGGGTTTGAGGGTATTTACTTAATTCGGTTGGTTCAAAGGCTCTGAATTGACTTCTTTATATGGACCAAGGACACAAATGAGTCTTCTGTATTATATTTCTCAAACATATTTTCTGATTCATCATCTGCCATGACTATGCCCATACCTGTGCTTATGGAGATGAAGTTATTTCTTAGTAACTATGAAACTGTTAATGGAAAGATGGTAATAAAAGCAAATGGAGAATTTAAAACAGTTTGGGCAAATCTGTCTTTACCATGAAAAGGCTCTTGTTTGTTTCTTTAAAGGATGGATTTACTAAATGAATTTTCTTGTTGCTTAAGAGAGATCTGTTTTAGAATTGCAGTCGACAGCCAGTAGTGCTGCTTGGCTGTGGCAGTATTTTGTGAATTCATGAGATGAGTTTCCTACCGCCTTTTTTATTTTTACTTGAAATATAGTATATAAGAGCAGTGCCTTGGGCGTGCATAGTGTAAGTAGTGGTGTCCTGTATTAACATAGATTCGCTGTTTGTTTTTGCTGTCACGAGTCGATGAATCCAGCCTGTCATGCAGAAACAATCACTATAATGTAAGCACTTACTGTCTTAGTGCAGCCGATTCCCCAGTGACATTTTAAAAAGTCAGGATTTGGCTGCAGAGTGCTTTAAATTTCTAAATGGACTGCAGATTGGGGCCTTAGGGTATTTCATAGGAGCACGTGACCCTGAGTGGACACACAGCAACTTTATATATCTGCAGCCAAGTTGATGACCAGCGTTTACCCTTGAAGTTGTTTTCATCCAGAATGTTGTGTTTTTTACTGTACATTTAATTATTTGGTGCTAATACTAATTCGTTACAAATGTCTAAGAGTAAATGAATGGTTAAACAAAGCCTGTACTGTTTGTCTTAAGTCTTTTGTCCCACTGGTTGTGGCTCTAACTTAAGGGCAACTCCTACTGGTTTCACAGCACAACATTTCTCAGTGGCTATAAATTCAGGTTGTTTTGTTTGTTTGTTTGCTTGCTTGAGGAAGATTTGCCCTAAGCTAACATCTGTGCCAATCTTCCTCTATTTTGTATGTTGGTCACCCCCACAGCATGGCCACCAACGACTGGTGAAGGTCTGTGCCCGGGAAATGAACCCAGGCCTCCAAAGCGGAGCCCACTGAACTTAACTACTAGGCCATGGGGCCGGCCCCTATAAATTCAGTTTTTTATCTGAAATGAGAGTGGCTGTTGAACCCAGGAACACTCAGAAATACATTTTCATTAAGTTTTACATTCTTTTCTAACGGTAAGAAGCCTAAACTCCCAAAAACAATTTGAGAATTTTTTATAGTTATATTTGAACAACTATTTATACCTATTATCCAAATGGATATAAAATCACCTTCCTGCCTCCCTGGCTGTCACAGATACAACCGTTGTTAGAATGAGTAAGGAGTGACAGTCCGGACTTTGGGGACTATGCTCTTCCTGGTCTGTTCTCGGCTGCCTGGCCTAACAGAGATGCCATCGAGTGGGAACACCAGAGGGTTGTTGTTCAGTGTAAAACCCCAGGCTCTGCATCATGACCTTCCCTGGCTTGAATTGATGGTCAGTACATTAACTTCCTTCTCTATTCAGTTGTGGTTCTTTTTAGCAATATTCAAAACTATGGAAGAGTAGGTCCCATGGTGTCAACACAGTTAGCTTGATCTAGCATGATCACAGACTGCCACACCAGAGGGCTATGCAGGGAGAGAGAGAGATATATGCATGCATGTATGTATGTTTCTATCTTTGTAATTTATTTTAGCAAAGGGGAGGTTAGGAGATAAAATAGGATGGTCCTCATGCCATGAGAGCTAATGCCTTGAGGGCTTTGCTAAGTTCAACTGCCTTTTTTATTCTATAATATTTTTAGTCTTAGACATGCATCTAAACTTCTGAGCCAGAAAGTGAGTTGAGATCGTCAGGTACCTCTGAAGATTCTTAAATTTCAAAATCCTATCTCCTGCCTTCACATAATTCATTGTCTCTCTTTAATAAAATAATAAGTATTTTTTCCTTTAATTTATATTCTCAGATTAAGGGCCATTAAATAACAAAGAGTTATTAAATATTTTTTATGCTAATGGGGGGATTAAAGGAGTAAGACTTGATTCCTGTCTCAAGGAGCTTACATCATAGTTTGAAAAGGCAAAGTGAGCATGAGCACACATTAAATAAATGGAAATCAAATAGATGCTAAGCTGATGCTATTGCTTTATTAGCAGTTAAGATCAAGAGAGAGGCAAAATATTTACTTCTTTAGTGATAATATACACTACATTTTATAGCAGTATGTTGTATGTTTTTTAATGGAGGTCTTCTCCTAAGTTTATGTTCAATTTCTGATTAATTATAAAGAATTTTTTAGAAATGAATTGCTATTACTACATTGAATAAATATTACCAATGAAAAATCGTTGGCCACTCTGCATGCCTGCCCACTTGGAGACTAGTTTAAACTCAGAGGATGAGTTTGGTTCATCAGTCGTGGATTTTATTAAATGCATTGAAAAAGTGTGTGGCAGGAGATTTCAGCTGCTAATTGATTTGTCTGTGAGTTTGGGAATTCATTCAATAAGAAATTGAACTTTTCAGGAGGTCATTTGCCAAATATGTTTATGCATGTTGTTTCTTCATTTGACACAAAAACGGGTGAAATATCATGCTTTTGAGCTATGTCTTTTCTGTGTGGGGCCACACCTTTTGTGATGGTAAAGATTAAGTAAATGTAACCATGTCTTGGTTTTGCACAATTGCAGTATTAATGCAAAGGGTTCCCCATCCCCATCTCCCTTCCTGTGTTTTACAGGCAGTCAGATGCCTCCCCAGCCACCTGGGAGCCAGTCAGAATCCAGCTCCCATCCTGCCTTGAGCCAGTCACCAATGCCGCAGGAAAGAGGTCAGTCCTCAGTTCATGTCTTACATATCTTCGTGTTTTGAGTATATACAGTGTAAATGCATTTGCTTACCTATGGTCTCCTTATAAATAATTTTTTAAAGGATGTTATGTTTCCTTATCAGATGAAAGAAATAAACAAGAACCTACATGTAACAACAAATATGGAAAAGAAGGATACTCTCTTGCAGATTGGGTGAAGTTTTACCAAAGCACAGTTCCAGACCCAAAGAATAAATATGCCCACATAGCACCATGAAGCATAGTTCATACACGACTATAGTCTGATATTTGATCTAGCTGGGCAAAAATGACTATTAATGATTCGATTTGAATATTGGTCCCAAAGAAGTAAAATGTTAAGTGTGTGTGCATGTTTAGCTGTTTTCATCAATTACTTGTCCCATGATATTTAATTGTAAAAATTTATCGTATTGTAAATTGTATTATAAAATTGTAGGATTTTAGAACTGGAGCCGTAACATCTTGTATTATAAAACTGTAGGATCTTAGGACTGGAGCCAACCTGAAAGATCGTAGAGTCCAGTCACCTCAATTTACAAATAAAGAAACAGGACTGTGTAGGTTCTATACCTCATTCTCAGAGGCTAGTTAGTGCCAAAGCCAGAAAAAAGAACGTAGGCCTTTCCTGAAGCCCTTGAACATTCAGGTTGTCCCACATCTGCAGGCTCTTTGACCTTCACCTCAGCTCTGCACGTTGACCCCCATATGTTGTTATTGCCTTGGTTGAGGCCTTCACCTTTCATTTGTTTACTTCTGTCTTCTTTTCCCCTTCAGCAGTAAAGCTACTTCTGTTGGTGGTGGTGATTTTAATCCAGATTAGTGTAGATTGGGGTTTACAAGCCTACTGCACCATCTGGGGCTGTGCCAAGTCACTTCCCACTGCCTGTGGGTCAAGGCCTTCCCATCCTTCCCCATGGAACATGCCCCTTTCCTTCCCTGACCTTCCTCTCTCACACTCGCCCAGAAGTCGGAAGCTGCTAGCTTGGTAGCTGATATTTAAAAGTTCCTCGCCCCTAATATTTATAATTATTTCCGTATGATTGTACAGATGATAATTTGCTTCTAACTAGAATTATAAGGTTTCAGTTATTTTACATGTTAAAAACTCAGTAGCATGTTATTTAGAAAGTAATACCAATGAAAAGATGGATTTGCCTTATCTACACATCGTTTGTGTTGAAATGAGTGTTTAGTGGAATAAAGTGACATTTTCATTTTCTCTTACCTTTTCATATTTAAATTTTTATTATAATTTAATCTATAGTTAATACTTTAATTCTCTTATAGATACTATAATATGTTTTAATAATGGAATAGTTAATGGTTTTCAAACTTTAGGGTTCACGAAAATCATCTGGAGAACTTGTTAAAAAAGATTGCTAGGCCACCCCCAGATTTTTGATTCAGTGGGTCTGAAGTGGGGCACTTAAAATCGACATTTCTGACAAGTTTCCAAGTATTCCCAATGCTGCTAATCTGGGGACCATACTTTGAGAACCACTGCCTTATAAGGATACTATTATATGTTTTAATAATTGTGTAATGTGTGCATTGGTTTCTCTAAACTTTCCACTGTGACCTTCTATAAACCAATCTTGTATCTCTCATCCTTTCTGTAAATTGCTTGTTCTGTGTTAACTGCTCACATGGCTCAGGTCGTCTGGAAGACATTACAGAGCTCATGGAGAATGCACTAAGACCAAGCAAGGGGGAATTCTCCCCAAACTCCTTTTATTGGTCATGGGTTGTACCTACATTGTGGTGCTGGGTCAAGGAAGCAGAGAAAAAGAGATAAAAGAAATTCTCCTGCACTGGAAGCCTGCTCAGGCCAGACCCAGAGCAAAGATGAAGATATTTGCTATTTCCTTTAACCCTCGCCATAACCCCTGTAACATCGTTCCCCTGGGAGAATTCTCCTTCTTTTGCTAGCATTAAAGGATAAGAGGTCCCTTCTTTGGAAGTCCTATAATTCTAACCTTTATTACTAAGAACTGAAAAACAGAAACTCCTCCCAGATCCTCCAACAACGTCTCACGCAACCCCTTCCAACTGATATGTGTTTAAGAAGTTTGAAAATGTAGAAAACTGAATGTGAAGGATGAGATGACAATGAGGAAACACAGTTAAATTAAACTTTTAACCTAAACGAATACATTTGCAAGGCAAAATCTAGAGTTTTCCTCTATTGTCACTATATGGAAACTACTATGTAGATGTACTTGTTATTTTTTTCCTCTGATTATCTTTATTATATGTAGCATGGTTTTGGTTATTGATAATGGACATATAACAATCTGGATAGTTATAATGACCATTTCCTTCAAGTAGCATATATAAATTTTATAATTTGCTAAATCTGAATGGATTTTTATGAACATGTTCCCCAACTTCCTCTGAAAGACTGTGCTGGAGACATTATGTGCATCCTTTGTGTACCTTCTGTTGGTTGGATGACCGCCTGAAAAGGAAAACTTCATATTTCAAAATGACTGTTAGATGATGCTTTGTCATGCGTGAGTTAAATTTCCTCTAAAATTGGGTAGCAAGGATTTTAAAAATGGCTTGGTTATTTGTTAAAATCTAGGAAGAAATGTTAGCTCCTAATAACATGTGACCAGGTGTTTTAATGGCAAATGACACAGTCATTTTAATGCTTTGGTACAATAATAAAAACATTTTTCTTGTTTGTTTTACCATCGCTTGGCATGTACCAACAGTATATACAGTGCAAAGTAGATCTAAGAAAACACTTACTAGAAAATTCCCCAATGTTGACTCCCATGTATTGAAAAGTAATTTATCTTTATTTATACCTTTACAATTGATATATTTCCCCCCTTATTTAGGGAAGTGATCAGAGAAGCAGAGAGGAAAAAAAATATATTGGAGAGGTAGCATCTTATTAAAAAAATGTATTCTTTCTCAGAAACCATGGGCCATGGTAGACAAGATAAGAAAATAGTTTCTCTACTGCTGAGTGCTAAAATAACCAAGCTGAACAGTTCCTTTTACACTTACTTTGTTTTAATAAGATTAAGATAAGAGAGTAGGAGTCCACAATTATACACAGTTTCTTTAAAGTATCCACAGGAGATAGATTTTCTTTAACGGCAAAGAATCTGGAAACACACTTGCCCAGAGACAACTGCACAAAGCGAGAGGTGCAGCCTCCTCCTGTTTGGAGGTGCAGTTTTCGGGGTCCTCCCCAAAGTCCTCATGGGGACAGCAGTGCTGACATACTGCCCTGGAGCCTAGGTCCCTCCAGGCTCAAGAAGCTGAGCTCTTGCTCCACTGTCCTTCCTTCCTACTTGGTCCTTGTATCCCCATTCAGGAAGAACATTTATTAATGAACTATATAATGTATTTAAGAGAATCTTGCAAACCTGAGGCTGTCCTGGGATCTGAACCACACTGGCAACCACAAGGCCATATGCTTTTCCCGAGGTTGAGTGCAGAGTCAGTGCTCTGCCCAGACATCAGGAACAGTAGCCCTCCTGACCCTGCAGTGCCCTGCCCCCATCTCTAGTTCAATACCCTCTTTATCTGGTGGTTCTGGTGTCAAGTTTGTCAAAGGGCATCAGTCGTAAATTCATTTCCCCACATTGTATGTAGGCAAAAATAACTGAGTTTCTATAGTTTTGTATTTTGCTTCTATAAAAGGTGTAAGTACAAGTAAATGTGGACGTGGCCATCATAGGTTACAAAAAGAGGGAAAAGACTTTAGATATTTATTGGCCTCTTTATTCTTGTGTAGTATTATCTCCTGTACATTTTCACCTACTTTTCAATATAAAGCTTGATTTAGTACTCTCCTGTTTACATATTTTGTGGTGCTGGAACTTCTTACTAACTGAATAAAGAAAATTAGTTCAAATTCTTTGGTCTTAACTTCTTCGTTACTGATACAAGTTTAAAAGAAAAAAGGTCAAAACTTCAGTTTAGTATTCTATAACGTATCTGCCATTGGTTTTTATTTGAAACCAAATCTTCTCTCTCTAGATCTCACATAATGACATACAGAATTGCTATTAAAGCATTTCACCGAAAAAGTAAAGTAGAATAAATTATTGGCATTGGAGGAACAGTTAATATAACCCTAAAATAGTTAAATATATTTTATAAGAAAATTGTAGCTAACAAGTTGAGATTAGTTTCATTCTTATTTTTTAATCTTTAACATATGTATCTTAAATTTGAAAAGAGCAGTAGGAAACAGCTTATTAACATGTTGTCCTGTTTTCCAAGAGGGCTTGGAGGGAATATGGAATAGTCATCTGAGTAGATAAATAAGTATAATTATTATTAACATCAAAATGATCGCATTTTTAACCCCTGTAAAATGTTAAGCTTAATGAAACTAGCAAATGCCCTTCTAGTTTATTGGATTAGCAATTAGGTGAAAACGTTTCAAGAAGGCTTATTTATTTGGAACGATGTAGAGAGGTCAGAATTAATTTTTTGAAAACCTTTTAATTGAATTCCCTTTGAATTTTCACAGTGGTGTCTAGTTAAATATTCATGTTAATGCTGGTGATTTTCTGAAGGTCTGAACTCGATCTGGATTCTCAAAATCAACATAGCTTATTTAACCCTTTTCATCTAGCAGGCCAGCAGGGATTTCCTCAGTGTAATCCCATAGCATTTGAATAATTAGAAGGTAGTAATGAGGATTTAATTAGTCCTTGAGATATGCCGAAAGCAGAACCACTAAGAACCTTCCCTTTTGGACATGGATTGCAAGCAGAATTGATGCCGCTACAGGACTGTGATGTGCTAGAAAATGTATTCTGTTGCTGGAGGCAGTTCCTTGGCACCATTCTGTGACCGTCAGATCTGTACGGAAGGTACCCTGGGTGGAATCTTCCAGAATTATTGAACAGCATCACCCCCCCCACCCTTCATTCTTGTCCACTGACACGATGACCTTTTTTTCCACTTTCTCTCTCTCTACTGTTTAAACAGTTGTTGTCAAAGTATAC